TGCAAAAAGGTGCGGAAAAAAAAAAAGTCGCGCGCTGGTCCGCGCTCCTGGCCGTCGCCGCCCAGCGCGCCTACGCTGCCTCTTTGTTGGAGCTGCCGTCAGCGACGGACCCGTGCCGGAGCCGCATGAGGTCCTCGCCGATGCGCTCTGGGACTAGCCCGAGCCTTGTGGCCGCGGCCTGCCGTTGGTCGCGCCTCCTCCCCCCACGCCGTAGCTCAGCCGTAGCTAAGCCGTAGCTGCTGACGCGGACGGTTCTCGGCAGACGCAAAAACAAAGAGGCCGCCCGCGGTGCTACCGGCGCAGTAGGGTCGGCGCGGCCCTCCGCCTCGCACGCTCGAACAAGGAGTGCACCTACCCCGAGCTCATGCGTGCCCCGAGGTGCCGCCTCGTAGTGCTCGCCATCGAGGTCGCGGGAGGCTGGAGCGCAGAGGCCGTCCAGTTCATCCTTCTTTTGTCCCGCTGCCGAGCACGATCCGCGCCTCCCCACCTGCGGGCCAGCAGCACTGCAGCGTGGGTGCAGCGATGGTCCGCATTGCTGGCTTTCGCAGCCACCAGGTCCTTTGCAGCCTCGCTGTTGTCGCTGCTCCTTCACGGCACCGCCAACGTCGATGGCCCCCTCCCCGACCTGAGCGACGTGCTCACCGAGCACCGACCCGACAGCCCCCCTCATGCCAGTCGCCTGCCAGCACGATGACGCGCCACCACCTTGGCCTTGGTGTCGGTCTAGGGGTTCGCAAAAGGTGTGTGTACAACAACATGCGTGGTGCCAACAAGAAAAGCTTCCATCCCGCTTCTTGGTGCGGCGCCTCCCGCACTATTTCGAGCCCCACCCGCAATGCTTGGCGTAGGGCGCCCCGGATGTGCGGCGGAGGGCTCTGTAGCGTGTATACGCGCCGTTTCAACTCTGCACCAAGGTCCGACGCGAAAGCGCCTGCGCCCGCCGCAGGGCACGTTTGTGGAGCCGGCGCACCGCGTCCGCTGTGTCAACACAAGGTGCTGCCTCCGCTCCGGGTGGCATCCTGCCTCGGCCAGTTGTGTGGCGGACCGCGGCTTCCGCTGCGGCCGCCAAGGCGACCTCGTCGGCGTCAGCTTCCAGGGCCGGTGTGAGGGGGCGTGCGGCGCACGCAGGGGAGCGCAGAGTACTCGGGGGGCCGCCTCGGTTGAACACCTCGGCCAGCGCAAGGATCTCATTGGTCAAGGCCGTGTTGCACTGCACTAGGCTTGTAGAAAGGCGGATTCCGCCAGAGCTGGTATGTAATCCGCGTCGGCGGCCATCACTGCGACGGCATCGCGTAGCGGTATGGAGGAAGATGCCAAAACGCCCAAACGACTGCAAACGTTTGCTACGTCGACGTCAGAAGCCCCCTCAACCAGACCAACTGCATGAACAGCTGCGACAAGTTCTGACAACGCGACCGGTGGGGAAGCGGCCAGGGACTCTGCGACCAGTCGCCAGCGTGCGCCGCCTGAAGGGTAAGCTAGCCAGACCTGGGCGGCAGCGGGAGATAGGCGTCCAGCGGCGCGCAACAGCAGTGGGACGTACAGCCAAGAACGCGTCGTCTCGGGCGAGGTATCAAGCAACGTGGCCGCGCAAACCGCCTGATTGTCGGCAATGCCGGGCGTGTCATCCTCGCTTGGTGGCGGTGTCATGCCTTGTACGGTGTGGTCAAAACGGTCATCAGCACTACAAACAAAGTTTTCTGACGGCTCGCATTCTTGGAAGCCTTCGCAGCGGTATGGGTGGCCCCACCATTTTGAGGTATACCGATGCCGACACGTGACAACGCTTCAGGCGCTCGTGCTTGCTGATCCTGCAACCGTGGGGGCCCTGGGGTAGAGGCCTCTCCAACTCTTACTCCGCGATACAGTACCTGTCGAAGTGCATGCCTCGAGGGAACAATCCGCGGCAAGTTTTTCCGGTGCATGGGCGCTTCACTTCTGGGCCGCCTGCCGCTTGGCGTCGTGCCCGGTTCAAAAAGGCGCCGGAGTGGCGAACTGCGTGTGGCCGCACTGCCAAAGATTGTTGCCGTTGGCTCCAGTGACGATAAGCGCCGCGCCGCCTCCAGGGGGCGCAATCAAGGTTGGTGCGAGTGGCCTGTATGAGTGCCCGCTCCTGGCCGCGCTGTAGTCGGCATGGGTGTGCTGCGGCCTCGCACAAACAAAAAGCACAGTGACATGCCTGTTCGTTCGCTTCGCACGCGGTGGTTACAGAAATAGCAAGCACACCCCAGTATCCTATATCAAGCCTTCAAAACCATCCAACAGCCAAGTCCATACCAAAAAACCCACAATTCTCAACCAGTATCCTAAATCAAGCCTTCAAAACTATCCAAACCTCAGCCATGTAGGAGGCAAAAAAAAAGCCACAAACCAAATCCACACCAAAACCTTTCCATATCCGAAAAGCCTAAAGCAAGAACTTTACCAAAGCCGTACAACAAAATCCACCGAAGCAAAGCTTACCTTCAACCATTCCCAATGAGGTGTGGGGCAAGACCCTCATAGAAAAAACAAAAGAGTATAACCCTGAGCTGGGGGGATGTCGGACTCCCTCATTTTGGGAAGGTTCTGTTCAGAGCACACAACCCATTGCTCAATCTTCGCAGCCATTTTTGGCTGCTTCACTGTTTGCGTAATCTTCCAACCGTTATCAAACCGAAACTGCGGAACGACAAAGAAGAATTTGGCTTGCCTCTTGTGCTTCTGGAACAGTGCATCCACAATCTTAAAAGCCCGTGTCTTCGTCAGGTCGCTGGCTTACCACTGTCATTGCGGGTGATGTCCTGTGCATCGGCAATCGTCAGCTGAAAAACGCCCTCTGAGGTCCATGAGTCATACGTTGGAAATGTTCTGCTCTGCGGCTGGTAAAACAACATCTCCTCCAAAGCCTGGTGGCATACAGAACTGCCCACCGCAGTTGTCAGCTTGCTTGAAATGTTCGGTGTTAGAAGCTGGGGTCTCCGGCCTCCGCGCAGGTGTAATCCTCAACGACTGGCAAAAAAAGTCCAAGTTTCCTATGAATGTCGGCATCCATGATATACAAAGCTTGTGCAGGCGCTGACCTCACAGTCTTGACCTCCACCTCTTTGGGCTCTTTGCCCTTCTCAAACTGCAAGATGTTGTCGTCGCGGTGCAAAAAAACAGGGAAGTCTCTAAGCTCACTGTCTTGGGAGCGACGCCAGACTAAATATACCATAAAATTGGACTTGCCGATCCTAGACGAGCCCAGCAAAGACATCACGGGGGCCTTTTTCTTCCACATGATGTCGGCAATTTCTGTGTAGCACCCCCGCACGTAGAATTGCTTCTCGTCCCAAATTTCAGAAACGTTTTGCAACTTGAAACTGCCCTTTGCCGTGTCGAGAATTTGCCGTTTCAGCTCTGCATCATCCAAAGCTCGTGCGAAGGCTTTGACAAACTCGGGAACATCGCGCTGAACCTGAAACCAAGCAATGCAACCACAGAAACAGAAACCCTGCTGCATTTACTGAAAACAGAACAAGACACAACAAACTCGGGCTTCGACTAAACCTAATCTTTGCTAAGAAACGCATTGTGGTTGGGCAATGCCCTGCTGGATGCGGTTGAACAGAGCCCTTGCTACTGCACGAGCATTGCGCGAAGCAACCATTGCTGCAACAAAAGTCTTAACATCCTGACTTTGAGTCATGATCTTACTTGAAGCTTCAGTGCAGAGCAATTTGATAAGCTCTTCGGATTTGGGAAGGTTTTGGTGTGGATGTGGCTTGTGGCTCTGGTTTGGATGGTTTTGAGTTTTGAAGGCTTGATACAGGATACTGGTTGAGAATTGTGAGTTTTTTGGTATGGACTTGGCTGTTGGATGGTTTTGAAGGCTTGATATAGGATACTGGTTGAGAATTGTGAGTTTTTGGTATGGATTTGGCTGGTGGCTTTGGTTTAGTTTAGATGGTTTTGAAGGCTTGATTTGGGATACTGGTTGAGAGCTGGGTCAAAATCCTAGGGTGGGGTATTGGAACTAGGGTTGTGGGTTGGCCATTTGCTTGCTATTACGTACTACGGGGCATGCGGTCGGCCACACAGGCACGAGCATCCGAGGTTCTTGCAACGTGTTCTTCTTCTCACATGGTTGCCTTCGTTAGCGGCCGCCGTGATCACACAGGTTGGGTTTGTAGTTTGCACGACAGTCAGGGATTGCAACTTTGTCAAACCGAAACTGCAGCCAGCAGATCAACAGATCGAAGGCGAATCGTAGAGTCCTCGTCGATGCCGGTGGTTCGCTGCATTCGCATCTTGGCAGCAAGGGAAACACGCGTGTGTGCAACCCCACCACCGGCTGTCGACATTGTTCATTCAAACACAAGGGCATGTGTCCGAGGCATTTTCAGCATTGCGCCAAGTTGCCACCGCGAATGATGGCACCTCCCTTAGTGGGTGAAGTTTTCGCCTAGCACGATTGTTTTTTGCGGTGCAAAACCGACAAAATCAGATGATTTTCGACTTGCAAGCAGGTGCATTCGCCTGTTGCATTGCTGTCATCGGCCGTGCGCTGCCAAGCTGAGACGCACGGGAGGGCTCCTGATGGAAATTGCGTGTTCGTTGTGTGCTTCTGGCCTCCGTCAGGATGATGGTTTCGTGCGCTTTGTGGTTACGAAGACACGAAGTGACCACGGAAAAGTGCAGCTTGCAGAGTTGTGTGGTCCTTAACGTGAACCCACAGTTCAGCTTGCAAGTAACATGCTGAAGTTGCGCTGGCATGATTTTGCACGTCTGGGGGTATCTGTGGATAGAATGTGCCGTTGTTCTGACAGCATGGATGTGTTGAGTCTTTGGTTGCACTGGTTGCCGAGGGTGTTGGAAGATGCAGCTGGCCAGCCTATTGACCTGTCCAGCACAGCCAATGTCATTCAGGCCTCGATTTTGCACCTGGCTAAGGGGTTTAGTTTGCGGGTACTGGTTGGTATGACATAAGAAATGGCACAGCGTCAAGGCATGTTCGGATCACGATGTTTCCCACCGACCAGGCGAAATTGGAAGGAGCCAACATGCTTGATACTCCGGGAAGTGTGGACTTGTGTATCGATGGCAAGCTGGAGACTTTGGCTTCGAATACATGCGTTTTCCATGACCAGCTAATTCGCAGAATCATCTGAGGAAACAAGCTGCCTTCTCGAAGTTGGTCAGAGCATTGTCCTGCAGCTTCAGTCAGGCGCGACCACAGAGTGCGTGCATAGTCGGCATAGTCCTGCTGAGCGGTATCCTGAAGCTGACGTTTTTCTTGCTGCTGTGGTCGAGCAGGCCATCGAGTGGGGAGCTACGGTTTCAAGACCGCGCTTGAAAACAGCACGGAGGCGGCCTTTGCAGAGAGTCTAAGTCAACCTGGCCTGTGGCTGAAGCGGTAGGGTTCGCTCCCTATGCGGTTTTGTCGGATGCGAGGTTCGGGCCTGCGATCCCATTGCCTTCAAAATGGAGAGGTCTCAAGACGGTGTCTTTCTTGAAGTAAGCCGTTTTCAGAGGACTCCGTTCTGACACAGCGAGGCAAGGAAGGAGAATCTTGCTTTGTTTGGCCCCTTCCGACACGCCCTGGTTGCTTGTGTCTAGGGCATTCGACGCCGCCCCACTTCTCAGCCAAGCAGATCTGTTCGCCAGGGCGAGCATGAACGTTCCTTCTTATCGGGGCATTCGTAAACCTGATCTGACTCAGGTTCTGTTTGGCGTGAGTCCAGTGTCAAGGCTGCGGTGGACGTGCCAAATGCCGGTGGATTCATGGCTTCTTGGATGAGTTCAAGCACCACTGCGTGAGCTTATGAAGAGCCTTACATCACCTGTTCAGGGTGCAGCTTGAGAAAACGATATGAGTCAGTGGAGTTGCAGTCCCCACAAACTAAATGTACAATTCGCTCAAATCCGCAAGGGTACCGTGGGTCTGAAATGAAAAGGCAGAAGTTCTAGACTGGAGACAGCTTCGCAGAAAATGCCTGCTGCAAGGAGTTGAAAGCTGCTAATTCAAAAACCATCGAGCCTGCCAGCGATCGACTGTGCACTTCGTATTTCCTAGTTTGCTGCATGCTGTGAAAGATGTTTTGGACAATCTTGTTAGATTTGCGTTACGGGGTAAGGGTCGAAGCGGTGCTTTGTGCCCGCTCTTGAGCTTTGCGCCGAGTGCTTCGCACCCCAAGGTGGGTCCCTTCCTTCTTTCGGGCTTTGCCGGTGGGCCCATGGAGACTCAGGGCCAGATACCACCGATGTTTCCAAAGGCAGGCTTTCAACGATCGTACAAGTGCACATGCAGCTGTGTCAGTGAAGTTCACCAGTGAAGCATGAGTGGGGTGTTGTGTCTCACCTTGCAAGCATGGGGCAGAAAGAAAATCTTCCCAAGCGCTTTAAGCAGCCCCGTGCCTTATGTTCGACAGGATCTTCCAACTACCACAGCTCGCACCATGGCAGCAATGGGGTCGGCTGCCCCAAACGATTCGCATGTGATAGCCAGGAAGGAAGAGAGACACCCCTGGATCTGAGAAAACGTTGCTGATTCCACAGTGCGCCGTGATCGAGTGGCCTGCAGGAGAGCTTCCAGCACAGACTCCGATTTCATCCACAGTCCCTCGGCCCATACTAGGCTTCTTGAGGTGCAGCTGTGCATGAATTTGTCCTGCAAGTGCTGTGATTCGTTCGATGTGTGCAACCTACGCCTTGGGATTCCGGTTTACCCTTTCGCATTTCTGCAGACCACCGCGCCACCGCCGCCGCGGCCTGCAGCAGCCATGGTGCCGGAAGCATCTCCACCGACCCCCATGGCAGTTGCGGAGCCGCAGCCGCTCGCAAAAAGACTATGTGGGGGCGGCAGTTCAACCTTCGGGTTTCATAAGGTGAAGCACATTTCAGAGGATTGTATCGGGCGAGACTAGTTGTGCGTGATTTTGCATGGTTTGGTGATAGTACCTTGCAAAGCGTGATCTGCTCCCCTACCACAACGCTTGAGGCCTTGAGGCTGTTGCTGGCTCTTGTGACTGTGTCTGGAACCTTGATCAGCGGTGATGTGTCCGTTGCTTTCATGCATGCGGATTGTGCGCGCATTGAGGTGATACAGATGCCAAGCAACGTTTCGGTAGCTGAGAAAGGCAGCGGGTTTACACGGAACTGAGGAAGGCTGTCAACGGACTCCGTTCAGCTTCCTTATCGTGGTATAGGGAGATCAGTCAGTTTCTTCAAAGCAAAGGATTCACGCAGGTCATCGACCCGACAATCTACAGGAGATTTACTAAAGGTGCTAAAGGCGAAACTTTTCTGAGCGTTGTGTTGGTTTACGTAGACGATATCCTGATCTGGAATCAGATTTCATCCGGCATTGAGGCTGATGTTGAGCACAAGCACCACTCCAATTCCGGATGTCCCAGCCGCTGCTCGGCTTCGATGCAATGAACCATGCGCTTCACAGGCATGACGAGGAAAACTGGAGAGTGTGGAATAGGGCTGGACAGGTACCGAACAAATTAAGTTCATCTTTTTAACCCAGGGCATCGCAGGGCCTGGATGCTCTGGTTTGAAGACTCGCCCGCCGATGTGTCTACAACCATGGCTAGCTTTGGTCTGGGTCCCTGACTCCCTTAGCGTCAGATCATACGGGAAGCACCAAGTTGGCCGTTTGTCTGACGGGGGGCGACTCGCCGAGGATGCACCCAGCCGTGTTGCGACAGCTGTCATCGATGCAGCAGAGCTGCCCAACAGAATTGGCCCTGACCCTCTTGTGAGTTCGTTTTGTGGTCATGCCAACCTTTTGGGGGGTCAGAGGCGTGCTGGAATGCCACTGCCACAGCGCATGGCAGCTGCCACTGCAGCGGCGGCTGCTGCAAAGACCCTTGCGAAGCCGGTCAGCAAGGAGGCCTTGAGCAAAAAATCGAGTGCACCTGTCATGATCGCTGTCAGTCTTTGATATGATGCCGAAGTGTGATGCCGAAGTGCCGGTGGGACTTTCTCTCTAGCTTGTGCTAACGCTGCAATGATCCCCTTCTGCACAGGCCATTGCTGAAGCCGTCGCTTAGCTGCAGTGGGTTTGGCTATGCCTGGCTTTCTGGAGGATCGTGTCCGAGATAAACACTTACCAGGCGGCTGCTGCGGGCTTGGATACCAGCCACCTGCAGGCTGTCAACGCCGCTTTAGCCAAGGCACGACAACGTGCATCCACTGCACTAACATTTTCTTCATGTTCGACTTTCTGTCGGCTTAGCTCTGTCACCCATTGTTTAGCTTTCATATCCAAGCATCTGAAGGGGAGTAAGTGCCGACTCGGCATGCCCTTTCAATTTCTTGGCTCTGCAGGCCGCTCCTGAACGCCTTCCTACTCTCCTTGCCCTGTGGAATGCGGCTGCCGACGCCGCTCGCCATGCCGCGGAGCGCGGCCCGGAAAAGGCTATCTGCGGCTGTTTTTTGTTCGGACGATCATGGCATGTAGTTGCCCACAGCGGTGGCATCCTCAGCAGGTTATGACAACAGCCGCATAGCTTCTCTTTGGATCGGTGCCTAGGGTTGGTTTCTTATGAGGGAAAACAGCTCTGTTTCCTGCATTGTCTTGTCCAGGAAGGTCGTAGTGAGTTCTGCCAATGTTCCTCTTGATGTTGACAGGATGTTTCGTTTTGAATTGTGACGGTCGCGGTGGTGGTGGTGGTGGTGGTGTCTAGGACATTTTCAGGTGGGCAGTTCCCGTTATAGGAGCCTTATAGAAGGTTTATAGACCTTATGGAAGCCTTATAGAAGCCCTATATACCCTAAACTCCCCACCTGTAGTTTCCTTTAATGGTGGCGCTGCTGCTGCGGCTGCTGCTGCTGGTGATCATGACAACAACGGCCATGATGATGATGATGATGATGATGATGATGATGCTGATGCTGATGCTGATGCTGATGCTGATGCTGATGCTGATGCTGATGCTGTTGATGATGATGTGGGATGATGCTGATAAGCGTCATGGTTAGGAGGATCGTTATCTTGATGATGTTGACGGTGATGCAAGTGTCCTCACTGGTCCTCTGCTTCGTCATCGTTTCCATAGGATGTGGTTGCCACCTCGAACAGGAAGCAACGAAGTGCAAGCCTGGGTGATCATAAGGCAGTCGGTGCTTGCTCGAACTGCATTTTCCGCAGGTGTCCCACGTTGTCGAGGCTGCTGCAGCGGCAGGCCTTTCGATCGAACAGCAGGCCAGCACGTTTGCACGTAGCCTTTGCTTCGTGAACGATGGCGGCTTTTCCTTTCAAGTGATATGCAGAGGCTAACTGGCCCTGGTTTACCCGCATTGCGCAAAGGCTCAAGCAGCTGCTGCAGCTGCAGTGGCGGCTGTGGCATCCATGACGACCCCAGGCAAACGGTCGGATTTGGCCGGCTTGTGTTTCAGCCCGGTTACTTGAGTAGAGTCTATAAATAGAGCAGGTTTTCTCTCCGCACTGCTGGATTGCTTGGAGTCCGTAACAAAGCGGGGGTTGGGCACGGAGAAAGACTCGGCGAGGCCCGGAGGCCATCATTACGGCAGTGGTGAAGGCAGCAGAAGAGGCACAGTGCCAAGTGTGCGTGTGAAGTGTGAGCTCGTTACCACTTGTTGACAATTTGGTAGTACCTTGCAGACCAACCGCCGGCACAGTTCACGACAGGGTGACACCGTTCAGTGGAACTTTCAAGCCCTTGAGGCTGGAATGGCATTGGACAAGCAATCAGAGATGGTCGCTTGGCATATCGGATCCTTGATGGAAGGCGGGTTCCACCCACCACACTTTGCGTTGTTGACGGAAGCTTCGCTTGAACTCGCTGCCAACGATTGTCTCTACGACCTCGCCGTGGCACAAGTTTGGGTGCCAGCATCATAGGGCCACACTGCCACGTTAAGGCTGCCGTCATGCAGGTCCAGACTCCTGAGGAGCGCTTGTTGTGAGCAGCAAAAGACTTCGAGCCCAACATGCCAAAGGGTCTTCGTGATTCCTGGTGAATTGTGTTCATGCTGGGAGCAGGAGCAAGATGCTCTTCTTCACATTCTTCACGCCGCAGAGCATCCTGCCTAGCCTTGTGCATGTGAGGTTCGTTTTTCGACTTGCCTGCTTTGTCATCGAAGCGTTGTGGACGTAGTTTCGTTGACGTCAGTCTTCCATTCCCTAATTGACATCTAGCACTTCACAGCATGTTTGCTGCGGACGGGCAAACTATGGGGAGTCTTGCTGGCATGCATCACGGTCATAGCACTGCAGTAGAGGATATGTGCCATGAATGCAAAGCTTCAAGCCAATCGTCTTTCTGTACAAACTGATGATGCAAGTACAAGCCGATGAGGAAGAGGCAAGCGTTGAACGGTTTGAATCCCAGGATCTTACCCAGGACCACGCCAGCCCCAGAGGAAGTGCCAGAGTTTGATGGCTGCTTCGTCGGCACAAAGTTGGCTGCGATTTCGCGGGGGAAGCGTATGCTTCGGGTTGCCGCTCTAAGAGGTCTTTCGCTAAGCTGTCAGACCTGGAGTGTTGAGCCTAGGCAGCAGCCCTGCTGCAAAAACGGTGGCCGACACCATCACTCAGGCGTTTTTCATTCATGGCATTCGGACCATGGTGCAGCTCTAGTGCAGGTCATCCGGGATATTCCCGTGAGCCCGCAGCAGAAGCTCCAGGCTTCTCGGCAAACTGATCTGGGAGCCTCCCCACCTTGTGCAAGCTTCCCCTTTGCTAGGGCTTTTTCAATCAAGGCCAGGCAGTGGGATGGGAGCGTACTGCCCCACTCAGGGGGCGGTTTGCGGTTGGCCTTGTTGGTCTTCCGCGAGCCGAGCGAGCCGAGGTGGTCTCCTCCGCCGCAAGGGCCGCGCAAGTAGCAGCAGAACACTCTTCCACGACGGCCCCTTGGCAGCAAGCAAGAAGAAGCGTTTCTGCTTCTTTGGACTTCTTTTGGCAACCCTCATCGCTGTCTGAGACCTCCTTTGATGGCGTTCGGATGGTGGTGGAGGCGGCCGAGGCTGCGGGCATCAAGGCGGCCGCAGAATGCTCCATAACCCAATTTGGGGAGAGTCTTTCTCGCGGGTTTCCTGGGTCCCCAAAGCCGGCACGGAGTTCGTGCTGCTTTGAGCCCCTGGAGCAGGATGCCGAGAAGCTGCAGAAGGTGCAGGAGAAAGCAGAAGAGCTCAGCCCAGAAAAGCAGAAGGCGGGTCTTTCATTCGAGCTGCTACAGTAGGCCACACCGCCTTTCCTAGGCTTTCAAAGAGCTCTGAGTTTCTGAGGCCGCGGTGAGGACCTTGGAAGCCGCTTCCGAGGAGATGCCGACGAGCACGCCCGGAGCCGAGTCCGCTTGCGGATCCTTACCCGTTAGATGCCTGGTTGGTGGTGTCTCTCTAAGACTCTAAGATTCCTTGTTCCTGCATCCGGTCCAGTTTATGCTTTCACGTTTCTGGATTCTTTGGTGCGAGTCCCAGCTCCAAGGACAGCACCACATGCCGCCGCAAAGGTTGCAGCGGTGGTTAAAGCAGCTGCAGACTCCGGTGGGGCTTTGGGGGGCTTTCTTGTCTTGTCCATGTAGAGACCCACAGGGCGGTGTTAGCAGGCGCAGAGGCCACCTGCATCACCCGTATGCCTGACTTGCCCGGGTTGATGTCCCAAGCAGAAGAGATGGGCCTCGTGTGGCGCATGAGATCGTGCTGTGGGATGCAGGGCTATGGGGCCTCCCTCGTCGTTCCGTCTCGCCTTGCATCAGGCATGACCGAGGAGCAGCAGGCGGAAGTCGCTGCGGCGGCTGCCGCAGCCGTATCGAAGGCAAGACCGAGTACCTGCAGCGCCCGGCTGGTCGGGATGAGATGTGTTGAGAAGGAGATGGCAAAAGGCGTTGCGGGGCTGTAGGCAACTCATGGCAATGGCAACTCTTGTGTTCTTCGTCGAGCCGCAGTCCTAACTCGCAGGCTGCAGAGCCCACGCCCAAGGCCTGCAGGGTGGCCAGCACACAGTCTTTGCGAATTTCGCGGCTCCGGGACGTTTCAGTTTCTGTGCAGTCGCAGCATGCATATACGTTCTGCTTTGTGATTCCAAGCAGCTCCGAGTTGAAAGCAGGAAGGGCAGGTCTCCGAGTTGATCAAGGCAGGACCAGGACAGCAAGGGCTGCATTTGGACCGACACACCGGTGCATCGCAGGTCGCCAAATCTCTCGGCCTCGGCGACAGCGAGCTTTTGGGCTGCAAGGGCTAAGGCGGCTAAGGCTTTAAAGGGGTCGTCTGCAATGAAGGGCAGGATAGAGGATAGAGAGCTACGGAGCGACACCGCTCCAAGGCTTGAGGCGATCCTGGCTTCGGCGTCTTCGTTCACGCCGTCAGAGCTTGCGTCCGTGATTCGCACCATGCGTGCAGCACAGGATTTCTGAAATCGTCTCCATCCTGCGACATGTGTTGCTCACTTGGAAAGCTCCCCCAGTTACGGATGATCTTGACTTGAGCAGCTGACTGCCGCCAGAGTGCGGTGATGAAAAAGGAGATGCCCGTGTCTGCTTTTTGTCGATCCCGCCTCTTCACGGGTTTGTCCTGCAAGACAGCATCCCAAAGCATGTGCCAACAAGCCCGCCGTCAGGGTCAGTCCGAAGCTGAGCCCTTTGAGCCCTCCCAAGAAAGAGCGGAGGCAGGCCCCCCGCTGTCTCTTTTGCGGCTTTTGTTGGCGCAAGCCGCCCCGCGCTGCACTCGCTGCAGAGGGCCCGGCGGACGAAGACCTGCCCATCGCTCGAGGCCGAGGCCGCGGCGGCGCGGCAAGAACTGGAGGAGCCCCGAGCAGAGCAGCAAAGGGCCGAGCGCCGAGCCAGATCCTCTCCTGGGGTCCTGCCAGGAGCCGAGCCCACCCGAGGCGTTTGTGCGGCGGAGGTGCTCGTGCTCGGCAGATGTTCTTGGCACACATGTCATCACTTACGGATGGTCCGCTGAGGGCAGTTTCATTGTCCCGTCTCAAGACTTGTTAAGACTCGTTAAGATGCAGAGCGGGCATGATCCGCATGAAGAGGCAGCGCACGAAGACTTGCCCCAGCCATGCACTTCAGCCACTCGGCCGAAGGGCAGCAGATGTTCCCATAATGCGTGCAGCTGCTTGCGGTTGGCCAAGTAAGCGGTGTGGTGCTTCTGCTTCAAGCTTGCATGCGAAGCCCCGCAGCAATGGCCAAGGAACATCGCAGAAGACAGGGAAGCCTCTCAGCGGCAACAATTGAGCCGAAACTATGAAAAAGCAGCAACCCGTTCGGAGGGTTTTGAGTTGTCGAGTCTTCAGGCCACCACAGAGTCCATCCGGCTGGAGTCGCAGGAGAAGGTCCAGGCGGGATTCCCACGCTGTGAAAGAACGGCTTTCTGAAGCTGTGCTTGTCTCTTCACGAAGGTGTTGAAGGCATGGCTTGCCTTGGGTGAGGGTATAGTATCCCGAGCCAGGCTCACCGGCCATCCAACCCGACCTCTCCACGGACCTCCGAGAGTGGCAGTCTGCTGGTTGGCTGCATTTAAATTATCCAAGAGCAGGGCGCTTCTGAAGCCTTAACACCTTAGACACAGCTTTCCCCCAGGCCTGAGGCCTATGCTTCGGCAGTGCAAACACCAAGCACCACGGCCTCATGGCCTGGCATGCCGTCGGAGACCCAGCTCCTAGTAACAAATCCAGTGATCGAGGTTAGTCCTAGGTCCTAGACACTTCTCTTCGAAGCTTCTCAAAGGAACATAAAGAGCTGGCGATGCGGTTCGACAATAGGACGGCTTCTTGTTCGGCCGAGCACTTTCAGAGAAGAGTTGTCAGGATCTCCGAAGCACCTTAGCTGTTAGTGTGGTCGCGCTGAGAGTTCAGAGCTGGCGCAGGACAGGGTTCCTACGGCACTGTGTGCAGAGCCCTGGACACGGAGAACGGCTTCATCTTCTGCGTCAAGAAGTCCGTGGCCACTGGGACTTCGTAGCGGCACAAGGGGGCCATCCTGTCATCAGATACCCTCCCGAGGTGACTGAAGATGACGAGGAGGGCCAGAGGTACATTCAGAAACTTCGAGAAGAGCTGGCCGCCTGATCTGAAGAGCAGACCCTGCCTGTGTTCGACTCGGGGTTGCCCGTCTTTTCTGGGAGTGCAGGGCAAGGAAGCACAGATGAACCGGCACAACGTGTTGCAGGTGTGAGGATCTTCAGACCAGCCCGGTACCAGAGTAGAGCATCCCAGGGTCCTGGATCTGCCTGACTCCTGCCATGGCGCTTTCCGAAGCTGGAGTGGAACGGAGCCGTGTGCCCACGAACTCGGAGATTTGGGTTGGCCCAGACGCTGTTTTTGCAGACGTGCAGACAAATGGAGCAACGCCAGCCAAGCCACTGCCGTCCAATGCAGCGATGCTTTCCATCCACGAGCAGATCTTTGCATCAGAAATGTCGTCTCTGGGTTCTTCTACGAGGTTGGATTCCCGGTTCTTGTCACCGCAGGGGAACCTGCAAGGCTCATAGCCTCATAGCCTTAGCCGGTCGTAGCCGATGTGGCCAAATTCCCCAAGCCTCTACCGTGCATGCTTCTGTCCACAGGAGATCAGAGGATTTGCTCACTGATCTGGCACCTGAGCTGGTGCGTGGAGCCCGTCTCAGCAATATTCTGAGGCGCTTCGGGAGAGAATGGTGTCCGTCGGGCGGGTCCGAAGCACCGACGTGGAGGCCGTCGTTGTCCAGGCAAACGCGGCACTTCAGGTATTTCTTCAGTCATGATTGGCAAACCTCGAGGTGGATCAAGTACCTGTCGTTGATAATCTATTTCAACAGCGGCGCGGCAGCAATTTCAACGTCCCTGTTGAGCATTGCACTGGGCATAGTCGGTGGATGGAGAGAAGACATGCCTGATGGATGGATCTTGCCACGGACTGGTTGGTGGACGGTTGTGGCGCATGTGGGTTCTCCTGTTCTGGCAGCACCTGCGAGAGTTTATTTTCTTGGTCCCGGGTTTGGCCCGCCTGGGTGTCAGTAATCCCGGGCTGGGATTTCTTGATCGGTTGTGCATACCGCAAGATGACCCACAGAAGATTGCTCAGTGTGTCTATGGTCTGGCTTCCATCTTGAACAAGTCCGATGACCTCATTGTTCTGTGGTCTCCGAGATACTTTAGCAGGCTGTGGTACACGCCTTCTTCATTAATTCAGGGCCCGTCTTTTTTTTGACCCCCCCCCCTCTTTTTTCTGACCCCCCAGCTTTTTTTTGACCCCCCCCCCTCCGGCAGCAACCCCT